ATATCCCTGTGACATGAGTGGCCAAGCTTGAGAGTTGTTCCTCCTCTGAAGTCACTGGTCACCTTAGCTGGGACAGACCTGTTGATCCTGTTCTCAACTTTAGGTGCGCCAGGTTCTGGCTTTGCCTATCTGAAGGATTGCTTAGTTTTTCTTCTTACCTGTCACCACTATGTTCTGCAATGTTCACCTTTGGTTTCCCCTAATCTTGGGATGACTAATACTTTTGGGAGATGGAACCTATGGCTATCTTTTATAGACGCTTAGGAACCTCTATAAATTAGAGCATGCTTAAAAGGAAAAACTAACATAAAATTAAATGTGTCTTACTGTGGGGTGGGGGCAGGTGGTGCACACCTTCAATCCCAGGACTGCGGACACAGAAACTGGGAATATAGAAGCACGTGGATCTCTACGAGTTCGAGGCCGGCCTGGTCTACATAGTGAATTCCAGGACAGCCGGACTGACAGTTCTGCACACAATGACTTTACATTGCCTGTTTTGCCGTTGGTCTTTCACAAGCACAACTTATTCAATTAACCATAATTAACTTTTTTAAAAAAAACAACTTGCCTCACTTCTGGACAATAGGAGTTCCTGGGTACACATCTGTTTCTTGACTTTCCTGCCTGGGGAGACATAAAAGAAATGTCTATTTACCCCAAATAAAGAAGGCTCCAACAGACCAAAGAAAGATTATGTCAAAGTCCAGCTTGATGGAATAAAGGAGGTAATGTATAGGACTATGGGTGACACCAGAGCAGCTGCACCTCCAGAAAGTCCCACCTCCAGGCAATGTTTTACCTCTGATGTAATTCAGCATCATGTGTAGCTGGGCAGGAGTGCAGGAGAGCAGGAACAGGGTGACTGGAATCTCAGAGGGATACCAACAGCTCCATCACTACCACCACAGACCTAGCTGTCTGTTGTACTGGCTTGCTTACTCCTTTGCTATGACTATGGCCAAGGTCTCCTGTACGTTACCAGTTGATCTGCTTCAAGATGGTGGTGGGTATTTCAAGCCCAGAGGAAATATAGAGTCCTTCTTCCCTCTGCCAACATTTCAGCAAACAATCCTCAGACTGCTAAAAATGAACCAGAAGAGCAGCTTGGTCCTAAACTGTGCTCAATGCTAAAGGCTAAACTAATGACAGTAAATTGTTGTGCCTTCACAAAGTTAACAAAAGCTAAAATTTGGCCAACTAACAGTAATAAAGGTGGTTAGCTATCGTTGATCTCAAACTCTCATCCTGAGTTTTGGACCACACAAAACAGCATTTCATTGACACATTGGGTAGAATCCAATATTCATGACTATCTCAATAAAACCACCAAGGAGCAAGACTGGAGGCAAACTAGTTCTTCCCTGACCCCAGCTTGCCTACCTTGCCTCTGTAAGATAGTCTAGACTCTGGTTGTACCCTACTTCCACCAGAACCTGCTTGTCTTCTGGTTTATGCTTAGCTCTCTGTCTAAGTGTTCTAGTGGAGGTGTCCCTAGCCTTAGGTTGCTTCACCTAAGAACTGAGGGGATTCGCAGGCCATGGTGGCGCACACCTTTAGTCCCAGCACGGGAGGCAGAGGCAGGCAGGCAGATCTCTGTGAGTTCAAGGCCCACCTGGTCTACATAGTGAGTTCCAGGCCAGCTGGGGCTACAGGGAGACCATGTCTCAAAAAGACCCCCCAAAAAAAAAGAAAAAAAAAAAAGAACTGAGGGGATTCTCTAGTTCTCTGGAAACAGTCAGTAGATAAGCTGCAGATAAGCTGCAAAACACAAGACACAGGAGTTCCCAGAGAGCTGGTGCACATACTGAAGTCTCACACTCAGTGCTTACCCTGTTATACAAGCTTACACAAGCTTCACACTGATGTTTTGTTTTTATAAAAGTTTGTCCAGAGTTACTAGTCTGACACTATGAACCTTGAGCAAGGTCCTGCCTGTAGCACACAGTTCTTCCTACTTTTTGAAATCTCGTTCCTTTCTTCATGGTTCTGTCAAATTCTGTGGCTAACGGTTGCCAACTTTCCTTTTTAATGCATGTTTTGGGGACAACTGTTCTTTGGCCAAAGGGGCCAAGGCTGGGATATTTCTCATACCCCTCCTTACCCACCTGTGCTAGACTGGATGCCACCCATGGGGGCTGCCTCCTCAGGGACAGAGGCACATCTAGCATTCTCTTTGTCTCTTATCCCTAGCGTGAGCCCGATAAACTACATTACCCTTATTTTGAATGTCTAAATGAAAGCACCCACGGCTGCCATCCTGAAGAACTCAAGAGGCAAATGTACAGGCTGTGCTCTTCATTTCTCATAAAGGAAAACCAAATCAGACCCGACCTCCTTCTTAAAAAAATTAAATTTTATTCATCTGTGTGTGTGTGCATTTGGGTGTTTGCACTGTGTGAGTGTGGCATATGTGGACAACTTTGTGGAGTGATCTGTGCTGGTATAATGCTTAGGTTTAATCTTTTTTAAAAAAATATTTTATTTTTTAAATTTTTTTGTGTATGAGTATATTGCTTGCATGTGTATAAGTGCACCTGTGTTATGCAATGCCTGCAGGTGTCAGAAGAGGGTGATGGATCCTCTGGAATTGGAGTTAGGGATGGTTTGTAGCTGCCATGTGGGTGCTGGGAATTGAACCCAGGTCCTCTGCAAGAGCAGTCAGTGCTCTTAACTGCTGAGTCATCTCTCCAGTCCAGATTTAATCTTCTTATTCAAAAAGCCTGTTTATGTCATGCTATCTAAATAGAAGGTTTATAACTTTGATTTTTAAACTTTTAAAACTTTATTTTGGCCTTTTTGAGCTGTAGCCCCAGCTTTCCTGGAACTCACTATGTAGACCAGGCTGGCCTTGAACTCACAGAGATCCTCCTGCCTCTGCCTCCCAAGTGCTGGGATTAAAGGCCTGCACCACCATGCCCGGCTGATTTTTAAAATTTTTTTTTTTTTTTTGGTCTTTTTTGAGACAGGGTCTCCCTGTAGCCCCAGCTGTCCTGGAACTATGTAGATCAGGCTGGCCTTGAACTCATAGAGATCCACCTGCCTCTGCCTCCCAAGTGCTGGGATCAAAGGCATGCACCACCACGCCCAGCTGATTTTTAAATTTTTTAAAGGCATATTTTTATTTTACGTGTATGAGTATCTTTTGCATGTACGCGTACCATGTGAGTGCCTGGTGCCTGTGGCAGCCACAAGAGGACATGGGAGTTACAGCCAGTTGTGAGCCATCATGTAGGTGCTGGAAACTGAACCAGAGTCCTCCACAAGAGTAGCAAGTGCTCTTAGCTGCTGAGCTGTCTCTTTAGCTCCTGATTTCTACCTTTTGATATTAAACCCATCTGGGACTAACTTTTATGTTAGGTGTGAGATAAGTGCTCTAAGTTTTAGCAGCCGCTGATTTTGATGCTCTTTCTGGAGAGCCGATTTGTTTCTCCACTGAAGACAGGTGAAAAAAAAAAAAACAAAAGCAACTGAAAACTCTGCATACATCGCAAAAGAATTTTGCACTTCAAAGAGAAAAGATGTCTGAACTGTGATAGATTCTGAGTCGTTTGAAACGACTCAGCCATAAGTCTTCAGATGTCCTAATTCCTATCTGGAGTTGAAGTGCGTTGGAGATGTAGCTCAGTGGCAGAGTGACTGCTCAGCATGTGGGAGGCCGTGAGTTCAACCCTCAGCTCGACAAAGACAAAACAAAAAATAAAGAAACTGGAGTGCACTGGGCATGACTTAATCCCACACCCAGGAGGGAGAAGCAGGTGGATCTCTCTCAGGCCAGCCTGGTCTACATGACCATTTCAAGGGCTCCACACTGAGAGACCCTGTTCCCCTCCAAACCAACCAACCATCCAACTCTAGTGCCCAAAGTGGGTGAACTACACAGGTGATGAGCTGGGCACAGGGTGCGGCCTAACTTTGGAATGGGCGTGGAGGCCACAAGAGGACCTGGGAGTTACAGCCAGTTGTAACTGGGAGTCCAGTCCAAGAAAGAGCATGGTATTTGAGAAAGGGCGTCATCCAATCGCGGGGACGAGGCTGGGACATGCCCAGGTATCAGAGAGCCCTGGGCAGTAGGCAGCCATGCGGGAAGCAGGTTCGAGACCCGCTGGAGCACGTGGGGGGTGCCCGGTCGGGGCGTGGCCTGGAACAGGGGCGTGGCCACTACAGGCGTGGCCTATCCCGGCCTTGGGTCCCAGAGGCCCCGCCCCCGCCCTGGGGCGATATAGCGAGCCGACGGGCAGTTGGCTGGGGGAGGCGGGTAACGGGGGCGTGGCCACACAAGGGGTGGGGTTACCGTTGTGGGAGGGGCCGCGCCGGCGCACTGCGCCCGTGGCGCTCAGCGGTTTCCCTCCCCCAAGTGCGTGCCCGCGGTGGTCGGCGAGTCGTCTGAGGAGGCCGCGCCCTCGCCTCGCCGCCCGTCTGCGTCTGCGTCGCCATCCCCGCGCCCGCGCCCCGCCGTTGG